CGGGATCTGGCCTTCTAAAGTGCAGCCAGGGTTGATCTCCTCTAGGACTGACTGGTTCGATCGCCTTGCAGTCCAAAGGACTCGCAGGCGTCTTCTCCAGCACCATAGTTCAAAGACATCAATTCTTTGGTGCTCAGTCTTCCTTATGGTCCAACTTTCACAGCCATACATTGCAACTGGGAAAAGCATAGCTTTGACTGTATGCACTTTTGTTGGCAGGGCGAAGTCTCTGCTTTTTAGTATGCTGTCTAGATTTGCCATAGCTTTCCTCCCCAAGAGCAAGCATCTTTTAATTTCTTGGCTGCAGTCCCCATCTGTGGTGATCTTGGAGCCCAGGAAAATAAAATCTGTCACTACTTCCATTTCTTCCCCATCTATATGCCAGGAATTGAGGAAATGTTGTAAAATGGTACAAAACTCCCTTAATAAATTCTCACTTAACAAAATAAATTTTAGGCTCATTTGTGGTTGTAAGCCGAGGATTACTTGTAGTAATATAGGGCTATTATTCCTAGTCCTCGATTTGTGACCAGCAAGTTATAAGGCTCTCCCAGGGGAACGTATGACCAAGTTCTGACGTTCTGACAGCCGAGGGCCCCCAGTCACATGAACACACTTGGGCACTCAGCAACCAGCCCACATTCATTGATGCTGATTGTAATGTCCATCATGTGACTTGTGTTTTACATCACTTTTGCCAAAACCATTTATTTCAGGTTTTTGGCAAAACTAGCCACAGCAAACCACTGGTTCGCTTAATAGCCATAGAGTTTGCTTAACAACTGCCACAAGAAGGTTATAAAATTGGATCAGTCATGTGGATTACCCAATTTACAGCTATCACAATTTAGGACTGTGATGGGCAGGTTCCATTATGGTCGCAAGTCAAGGGCTACCTGTAGTTTATATTACAAATTAATAACGTTTAAAATGTTTTAAAAGTTAATAAAGTTATATTTTAAAGATGGTAACAAGAACGTTTCCTTTCCTCTGGGGGCAGGGAGGTATCCGCTACAGCTATCTGCTAATCTTACTTACTAACTCTGAATCTGCATGTGTTCTCAAGGCTCTCAGGAGAACTGATGGAATTTCAGTGGAAGCCATCACTTCACTCTAAAGCAGGGGTCACCAAAACTGGGCCACATGAGTGATAAGCAAGCACACACAGGCAAAGCTCCACTTACACAAGTGGCAGGCAAGTGCATGCGCGCGAACCTCCATTCGCGAGTTGTGGGCCTTTGTGCTCGCATGCAAAACTCTGCTTGCGTGAGCAGAGGACACTTAAGTGGAGGGTGCAAAGCTCTATTTACATGAGTGGGAGCTTCACATGGAGGCACCCTCCATTCACGGGAGTGGAGTGTCACACATGAACGCAAGCACCCTCTGCTCAAGCATCCTCTCCTTGCATGAGTGGAGCTTCACGCATGAGCATGCCGCTTGTGTGAGTGGAGTTTCGTGTACAAGCGAAATCACCCGTTGCTCATGTCCAAAGCTCCATTGACGTGAGTGGAGGGCATGTGCATCCATCATTTGCACCAGTGGAGCTGTGTGCACACATGTCCACTTCCCATTCATTCTCCCCCTGTGCTGGGCCGCCAAGCTGGTGAAGTTGGGGACTACTGCTCTAAAGCATTTCATTAACATCCTTTAAAGTTGTCAGCAAGCAAACTTTAAGGAGTTTTT